AATGGCCCACCTTTAAAAAAGCCCCTTTTCAAAACACCCAAAGGACCCCCTTTTTTCCAAAAAATCACCCCAATTACTGTCCGTGAGTTGCCTGGTAAACTTTAAGTGTGTTATTGTGAGTGGAAAAATCTAGGGCAACACTATACCATTTTTCCCAAACAATCTGGAAGAAACGTCAGCAAAATACTATTTGGGGGAGCTTAATGAAAGGGTTTTCCAGGGCCCGAGCAGCCGCAACAAGCCTAAGATCCCCATGCACAATCCCAAAGGGTGGTGGCTGGGTGGTGTAAAGTTGGCCCCCTTTGGGACTCTGGGCGGGGTGGAAAGCGTTCTTGGGTGATAAATCAATTTCACAATGGGGGGAGCCCAACGGACAAATTGGATTTGGCGGATCCCAGGAAAAGCACCCCCCCGAGTAGTCCCAATGTAAATTTGATGGAGGAGGATAATAGTCTGGGACTGTTTTTCATGGTCGGGCTAGGCCCCTTAATTCCAGTGAAGGGAAATGTTAATATTACAGCGTACAATGACATTGTAGACGATTCTGGTGCTTCAAACTTTGTGGCAACAGTTTGGGGAAGAAACTTGACTGGACTGCACAGAGCCCTGACCTCAACTCCAGTGGAAAGCCTTCCCAGAATAGTGGAGGCTTTTATAGTAGCAACGGTGGGACCAACTCCATATTAATGCCCATGATTTTGGAATGAGATGTTCGACGAGCAGGTGTCCACATACTTTGGTCATGTAGTGTATGAAAGGGAAATTACATAAACATAAATATGGGGTTGTATTTACAATGGTGTTTGTTCTCATGGTTGCCCTTTTCTCATGGCAACGGGCCACCAAATCTTGTTGCTGTTGATTGCACATAGCGGTATTTCGCCTCAACAGATATGGGAGATAATCAATGTTTGATTTGTTTTCAAATTCTTTGTGGGTCTGTGTAATCTGAGGGAAATATGTGTCTCTAATATGGTCATCCATTTGGCAGGAGGTTAGGAAGTTGCATCTCAGTTTCCACCATCATTTTGTGGGCAGTGTGCACATCAGCCTGTCTTCTCTTGAGTGCCAGGTCTGCCTACGGCGACTTTTCTCAATAGCAAGTCTATGCTCACTGAGTCTGTACATAGTCAAGGATTTTCTTCATTTTGGGTCAGTCACGTTTGTCAGGTATTCTGCTACGGTTTACTCTCTGTTTAGGGCCAGATAGCGTCCAATTTGCCCGTTTTTTGGGTTGACTCTTCGGTGTTGTGGTCAAATAGTTATTTTTTTGGTTTTCATGATTGGGTTGGGTGAAAGGGAGCCCAGAGGGGGAGAAGGAAGGAGAGGGGAGAAAGGGAGGGAGGGGAGAGAGAGGGGAGGAGAGAGACGAGAGAGAGAGAGAGAGAGAGAGAGAGAGAAGAGAGAACGAGAGAGGAGAGAGAGAGAAGAGAGCAAGAGGAAGGAAAGGGAAAGAAAGAGGAGAAAGAGGGGGGAGGAAAACAAAAAGAGAAAGAAAGAAAGAAAAGAAAAAAGAGAAGAAGAGAAGAAAACGAAAGAAGAGAAAGAAAGAAAAAAAAAAGGGAAAAAAAAGAGAAAAAAGGAAAGAAAAAGAAAAAAGAAAAAGAAAAAGAAAACGCAGAAAGAAAGAAGAAGCAAAAGAAAAACCAAAAAATCTCCCTTCCTCCTCCCTACTCTCCTCCCCCCCCCCCTCTCCCTCCCCTCAAATGTTATATTATTGGCTATGTACAGTGTTGTAACAAAGTGCAAATAGTTGAAGTACTCTATATATACAAAAGTATGTAGACACCCCTTTAAATTAGTGGATTCGGCTTTTTCAGCCACAGCCGTTGCTGGACAGGTGTATAAAATCGAGCACACAGCCATGCAATCTCCATAGACAAACATTGTTAGTAGAATGGCCTTACTGAAGAGCTCAGTGACTTTCAACGTGACACCGTCATAGGATGCCACTTTTCCAACAAGTCAGTTCGTCAAATTACTGTCCTGCTAGAGCTGCCTCGGTCAACTGTAAGTGCTGTTATTGTGAAGTGGAAACATCTAGGAGCAAACACTCACTACCACGTTCCAAACTAACTCTGGAAGAAACGTCAGCACAATAACTATTTGTCGGGAGCTTAATGAAATGGGTTTCCATGGCCGAGCAGCCGCACACAAGCCTAAGATCACCATGCACAATGCCAAGTGTCGGCTGGAGTGGTGTAAAGCTTGCCGCCATTGGACTCTGGAGCAGTGGAAACGCGTTCTCTGGAGTGATGAATCACATTTCACAATCTGGGAGCCCAACGGACTAATCTGGATTTGGCGGATGCCAGGAGAACGCTACCTGCCCCGATGCATAGTGCCAACTGTAAAGTTTGATGGAGGAGGAATAATAGTCTGGGACTGTTTTTCATGGTTCGGGCTAGGCCCCTTAATTCCAGTGAAGGGAAATGTTAATATTACAGCGTACAATGACATTGTAGACGATTCTGTGCTTCAAACTTTGTGGCAACAGTTTGGGGAAGAACTTGACTGGACTGCACAGAGCCCTGACCTCAACTCCAGTGGAAAGCCTTCCCAGAATAGTGGAGGCTTTTATAGTAGCAACGGTGGGACCAACTCCATATTAATGCCCATGATTTTGGAATGAGATGTTCGACGAGCAGGTGTCCACATACTTTTGGTCATGTAGTGTATGAAAGGGAAATTACATAAACATAAATATGGGTTGTATTTACAATGGTGTTTGTTCTTCACTGGTTGCCCTTTTCTCATGGCAACGGGCCACAAATCTTGTTGCTGTGATTGCACATAGCGGTATTTCGCCTAACAGATATGGGAGATAATCAATGTTTGATTTGTTTTCAAATTCTTTGTGGGTCTGTGTAATCTGAGGGAAATATGTGTCTCTAATATGGTCATCCATTTGGCAGGAGGTTAGGAAGTGCATCTCAGTTTCCACCTCATTTTGTGGGCAGTGTGCACATAGCCTGTCTTCTCTTGAGTGCCAGGTCTGCCTACGGCGACTTTTCTCAATAGCAAGTCTATGCTCACTGAGTCTGTACATAGTCAAGGATTTTCTTCATTTTGGGTCAGTCACGTTTGTCAGGTATTCTGCTACTGTTTACTCTCTGTTTAGGGCCAGATAGCGTTCCAATTTGCTCCGTTTTTTGGTTGACTCTTTCCGGTGTGTCAAATAGTTATCTTTTTGTTTTCTCATGATTTGGTTGGGTCGAAATGTCTCTCTCTCTCTCTCTCTCTCTCTCTCTCTCTCTCTCTCTCTCTCTCTCTCTCTTTCTCTCTATTTGTTTCTCTCTCTCTCTCTTCTCTCTCTCTCTCCTCTCTCTCTCTCTCTCTCTCTCTCTCTCTCTCTCTCTCCTCTCTCTCTCTCTCTCTCTCTCTCTCTCCTTTCCAGTGAAATCAGCAGCTATACAGATGTGGAGCTGACCCCCCCCCCCCCACACACACACCCTCTAGCCTTCTTTACCCATCCTCTCCTCCTCTCTGCAGTGCCCTCCCTTACTCTTTCTCTCTCTCTCTTCCCCCATGAAAAGACATGTATGAATAACAACCCTGAGTTCAGCTTACCAGCCAGGCCCCAGACAATGGAGGATGCATTCATTCATCCCAGCACTCCAAAGAAAGGCTTCAGTTCAGCTGGGCTAGTATTGTGGGCTGACCCCATCTCACCACGTTCCACTAGTCAATCAGAGGGAGGCAGGGGCAGTGGTCACTCCCTGCAGAGTGGATGATAGGGCTGTTCTGGCAGTTTGGGCAATTCAAAGAGAGAAAGAGAGAGAGGGGGAGGGAGATGGTGAGGAAAAAGAGAGAGAGAGAGAGAGAGAGAGAGAGAAGGGTGGGGGAGAGAGATGGTGAGGAAAAAGAGAGAGAGAGGGAGAGAGGGTGAGGAAAGAGAGAGAGAGAGAGCGAGAGAGAGACAGAGAAAGAGAGTGATGCGTTTTTGTGTCCTCCTCCCCTCTTCCCCTCCTCTCCTCCTCCCCTCCTCTCCTCCTTCAGTTGAAAGTCGTTTCTTTCAGTTTGAATGATAATATGATTATGTTGCTATAGCTACACACTTGTGAACTGACATACAGAAGCCTGCACATTGTTGCCTGGAATGTTATTGACATTGAGATTTGTGTAGACTAAAGAGAGTTAACCGAACTTTAAGGTGTTAGAGAGAGAGAGAGAGAGAGAGAGAGAGAGAGAGAGAGAGAATTACGGCATTTTAAAGTTGATGATTCTAAATATTGAACAGTCTAGCGGTTTTAAGACTCCTGGTATTTAAAGTCCTAATGAATCCCTGTTTCTTCTCTTTCTCAAAGGCTGACTTGACAATGGGATCTACAAAGCACTGAAGAGGCTCTGACAAAAGAACAGGGGAACCAGGAGGAAAGGAGAGGAGTAAAACAAAACAAAAGGAGAAGGAGAAGGAGCCTTTATTGAAAAGAAAAGCGGAGGTCGGCTCGGGGAGTCTGTCGGTGTGGGGTTGGGGTGCATGCTGTCCTCTCCTTTGTGAGAGAGAGAGAGAGAGAGTTAACAAGAGACAAAGAATGTGCAATAAACAGAGAGGAGAGTGTCGAGCGGCGGAGGAGGCTGGAGCGGGATTGCCTGGTCTGGGCAGCAGAACCAGTGTGCTACTGCTACTGGCTCTCCTGGTAGCCATGGTCCAGGCTCAGGGACCGGTGGAGGTGCTGGACGGACCCGGGGAGCTGGAGGCCTCCATGCACTCCTCCATACTCTCAGACTTCCAGGTGGTGGAGGCAGCGGTGGAGGCCCTGGAGCCGGTGGTGGCTGCAGTAGGAGCAGGGGGAGTGGCAGGGTTCCCTGACTCGTCTGCTGTGGTGGGCCGGGTGTTTCAGATTAAGTTCCCGGTGAAGACAGACTACACCAGCAACACGAAGGTGAGCAGAGCACACCAATCACTACTGACACCTCTGAGGGTGTGTGTGTGTGTGTGTGTGTGTGTGTGTGTGTGTGTGTGTGTGTGTGTGTGTGTGTGTGTGTGTGTGTGTGTGTGTGTGTGTGTGTGTGTGTGTGTGTGTGTGTGTATGTGTGTGTGTGTAGCAGGGTTGAAGATGAGCTATACCAGTAACATGGTGAATGTGAGAGCTGCAGTCAGGGGGGGGGGGAGCTACAGCCACAGAGAGCAATTCAATTCAAGCTACAGCCACAGAGAGCAATTCAATTCAAGCTACAGCCACAGAGAGCCATTAAATTCAAGCTACAGCCACAGAGAGCAATTCAATTCAAGCTACAGCCACAGAGAGTCATTCAATTCAAGCTACAGCCACAGAGAGCAATTCAATTCAAGCTACAGCCACATAGAGCCATTCAATTCAAGCTACAGCCACAGAGAGTCATTCAATTCAAGCTACAGCCACAGAGAGCCATTCAATTCAAGCTACAGCCACAGAGAGCCATTCAATTCAAGCTACAGCCACAGAGAGTCATTCAATTCAAGCTACAGCCACAGAGAGCAATTAAATTCAAGCTACAGCCACAGAGAGCCATTCAATTCAAGCTACAGCCACAGAGAGTCATTCAATTCAAGCTACAGCCACAGAGAGCAATTCAATTCAAGCTACAGCCACATAGAGCCATTCAATTCAAGCTACAGCCACAGAGAGTCATTCAATTCAAGCTACAGCCACAGAGAGCAATTCAATTCAAGCTACAGCCACATAGAGCCATTCAATTCAAGCTACAGCCACATAGAGCCATTCAATTCAAGCTACAGCCACATAGAGCCATTCAATTCAAGCTACAGCCACAGAGTTGAGTGTGAGACATGCCAACTGTTTGAAATGCATGACCCCAGCACTTATTCCAGCACTGTGTTGCCTCGTCCCATGATAACTCTCTGAGTCTCTCAGGCTGAGGGTGTAGTCCTATATTCACAGGATCCTTTCTGCCCTGTCAAACGCATGTTAAAGTACCCAGTACCAAACACCAAACCATGAGCCCTTTGTGCAGATTGTGAAAATAGACCCTGACAGCTGGGCTAGTAGAATGCTAACACTAAGCACTTTCTGAAGAGAAGAGACTCACTTTTCACACACAAACACACACACACGCACACACACACCCACACACACACACACACACACAGACACACACACATAGACATACACACACTGAGACTCACACACACACACACATACACAGGGTGGTGTACAGCCATTCATTTCCTCCACACTATTTACTCTAGAAAGTGATTATTTCTCACTACTTTCTGCCCGCTCACAGGAATGAACACATACATACACACACACACAAACAAACAAACACTCTCTGCCCGCTCACAGGAATGTGTTGAGACAAACAGGGCATTTTGGAGCAACGCACCACTCCGATGAAAAGCCTGCACACAGGTATTAAAGCTGTAGAGTAAAGCCAACGTCAAGAACATTTCAGTTCTAGGTTACCGTTGGTCTAATGGTAGTTTAATGCTTTTTATGGTGTAAAATCAGAGATGCATGATAGAGTGTGTGTGTGTGTGTGTATGTCCACATTCTTGCTTGCTTGCGTACGTACATGCTTTCTTGCGTGTGATAAACAAGTCTTTGATTTAAACATGTCATATCTACACTGAGTGTACAAAACATTAAGAACACCTGCTCTTTCCATGACATAGACTGACCAGGTGAATCCAAGTGAAAGCCATGGTCCCTTATTTGATGTCACTTGTTAAATCCACTTCAATCAGTGTAGATGAAGGGGAGGAGACAGGTTAAAGAGGGATTTTTAAGCCTTGAGAAAATTGAGTCATGGATTGAATATGTGTGCCACTCATAGGGTGAATGTGCCTTTGAAAGGGGTCTGGTAGTAGGTGCCAGGCGCACCGGTTTGAGTGTGTCAAGAACTGCAACGCTGCTGTTTTTTTTTATCACGCTCAACAGTTTCCCGTGTGTATCAAGAATGGTCCCACCACCCGAAGGACATCCAGTCAACTTGACACAACTGTGGGAAGCACTGGAGACAACATGGGCCAGCATCCCTGTGGAGCGCTTTCGACACCTTGTAGAGTCCATGCCCCGACGAATTGAGGCTGTTCTGAGGGCAAAAGGGGGGAGGGTGCAACTCAATATTAGGAGGGTGTTCTAATATGCTTTGTACACTCAGTGTACTCTATGTATTCTGCAGTATGGCGACACAACCTTCAAATTAGTGGATTCTAATTAGTTAGATAGTTGGTTTAGCCACAGAAAAAGACAGGAACCTTCCCGCTAGCCATGATTGGTTGACATAATGGATGGGCTGGACATGCCGAGAGATGAGTTCGGATTGGTCTGCTGTGTAGCGCGCTTCTGTCTATAACATGAGCTGCTCAGTATGTTTAGATAATCCTTGAAACTGTAGCTTTTTTGAAAGGTACACTATATATACAAGAGTATGTGGACACCCCTTCAAATTAGTGGATGATTCAGCTATTTCAGCCACACCCGTTGCTGACAGGTGTATAAAATCGAGCACACAGCCATGCAATCTCCATAGACAAACATTGGCAGTAGAATGGCCTTACTGGAGAGCTCAGTGACTTTCAACGTGGCACCGTCATAGGATGCCACCTTTCCAACAAGTCAGTTTGTCAAATTTCTGCCCTGCTAGAGCTGCGCCGGTCAACTGTAAGTGCTGTTATTGTGATGTGGAAACGTCTAGGAGCAACACCGGCTCAACCACGAAGTGGTAGGCCACATAAGCTCACAGAAAGTGACTGCTGAGTGCTGAAGCGCGTAGCGCGTAAAAATAGTCTGTCCTCGGTTGCAACACTCACTACCGAGTTCCAAACTGCCTCTGGAAGCAACGTCAGCACAATAACTGTTCGTCGAGAAATGGGTTTCCATGGCCGAGCAGCCGTACACAAGCCTAAGATCACCATGCGCAATGCCAAGCGTTGGCTGGAGTGGTGTAAAGCTCGCCGCCATTGGACTCTGGAGCAGTGGAAACACGTTCCCTTGAGTGATGAATCACGCTTCACCATCTGGCAGTCCGACGGACGAATCTGGTTTAGGCGGATGCTAGGAGAACGCTACCTGCCCCAATGCATAGTGGCAACTGTAAAGTTTGGTGGAGGAGGAATAATGGTCTGGGGCTGTTTTTCATGGTTCGGGCTAGGCCCCTTAATTTCAGTGAAAGGAAATCTTAACGATACAGCATACAATGACATTCTAGACGATTCTGTGCTTCCAACTTTGTGGCAACAATTTGGGGAAAGCCCTTTCCTGTTTCAGCATGACAATGCCCCCGTGCACAAAGAGAGGTCCGTACAGAAATGGTTTGTTGAGATCGGTGTGGAAGAACTTTACTGGCCTGCTCAGAGCCCTGACCTCAACCCCATCGAACACCTTTGGGATGAATTGGAACGCCGACTGTGAGCCAGGCCTAATCGCCCAACATCAGTGCCCGACCTCACTAATGCTCATATGTCTAAATGGAAGCAAGTCCATATTAATGCCCATGATTTTGGAATGAGATGTTCGACAAGCAGGTGTCCACATACTTTTGGTCATGTAGTATGTAGTCTTTATATATAATGGATAACAATTCACACAGTGAAGTTGTGTAGCCTCCTATGTATGTACAACAGTTGCTATAATTGCGTTGGCCATAAGGGATAAGCTCACAGCCATCTAGTGTGGCCTAGAACATATAGGCTCTATAGAAGTCTCTAGATGATTCTAAGAACATGTAGGCTCTATAGAAGTCTCTAGATGATTCTAAGAACATGTAGGCTCTATAGAAGTCTCTAGATGATTCTAAGAACTTGTAGGCTACTAACACTACTTCAGTGTATACTAAAGCGTGATTGTTGCAGTGCTTCTTTAGATTGCAAGGAATAAAAAGAAATGTAACTTCATGTTGTGAGGTTCTTGTTGTTTTCAGCCCCACGGCAACACTAGATACAAACTGTTTCTGAAGCTCCTTTTCAACTGCTCAGAAAGATGCAAAAAAGAAAAAAACATGTTCAGTTCGCTTTGACTGTCCTGGCAAGTCGATCTGTTACAGTGAAATCAGCCTGTCTCTGATAAATGGAGACAGATATCCCTGTTGTCTAGACTTCCCCGGTGGCTTTGTGTTTTCCTTTCCACTGTGTATTCCACTGCTGCTCCCCCCTCTCCAGCGATGGCAACCAGGCAGCAGGACTTTCTCTCTCTGTTTCCCTGAAACCCCTCCCATTCGGACACAAAAAGACTCGCACTGAAACCCAATTAGGCTTGGCAATGTGGCAGCGGAAAACTTGTATTAGTAGGATGGATGAAGGACCCAAGATACAAATGGGAGGAAGATTTGAGTCTCTCAGTTCTCTGGTCAGATGTAGTCAAATAATTCCATCCGGAGTGGCTCATACCAGTCATAGAGTCCCTCCCTCCGTCCCTCCATCCATTCTCATTTGTTAAGTTGTGATTCTGCTCTGCATAGCAACCAAGCAGGGTACCTACCACTGGTGTCACGTAGTCCTAGCCAGTCTTGGTGAGACTCTTTAGGGTTTAGTCGCAAGCTGCTAATTTCTTTCTAGCTTTCAAATAGGCACATTCTTCTCTTCTCCTCTACCCTGCAACTCGTCCCCGGGTCCTTAGTGTACAAAGAAAGTAGTGCATTATGTGTTCTGTCAATATAGCTGGTAATATAGTGGTTAATAAGCAACTCTAAGGGGGCCTTATAAAATCTATGATTTTTCCCCCAAATTCTGTTTTATATTTTCCCAAATTATATTTTCTCAGTTTTATTTTTCCGGGTTTTAGATTTTGTTTTTCATTCCATTTTCATAGACGAACAAAAAACTTAGATGTTCTGTATATCAATGGTTAAATCACATCTGAATACCTTTTATTTTAGGTCTGGAAGAAAACAAACAAATTGTTTTTTTGACTGCAGGAATGTCCACCAGAGCTATTGCCAGAGAATGTAATGTTTAATTTCTCTACCATAAGCTGCCTCCAATGTCGTTTTAGAGAATTTGGCAGTACGTCCAACCGGCCTCACAACCGCAGACCACGTGTAACCATGCTAGCCCTGGACCTCCACATCCGGCTTTTTCACCTGCGGGGTCGTCTGAGGGGGTGGGGGGTGGGGTGGGCCTGTCTCCCAAGTGGGTGGACCTATGCCCTCCCAGGCCCACCCATGGCTGCGCCCCTGCCCAGTCATGTGAAATCCTTAAATTAGGGCCTAATTAATTTATTTCAATTGACTGATTTCCTTATATGAACTGTATCTCAGCAAGATCTTTGAAATTGTTGCATGTTGCGTAAAATTTTTTGTTCAGTATACTTTCAAAATTGTTTGGAGCTACTGATAGTGGGATCAACCTGTTGGACCCCTGCACTAGAGGGCACTATAATATGCCATTTAGCAGATGCTTTTATACAAAGTGACTTACAGTCACGTGTGCATACATTTTTACGTATGGGTGGTCCCGGGGATAGAACCCACTACCCTGGCGTTACAAGCGCCATGCTCTACCAATTGAGCTACAGAGGATCGACCTGTTGGACCCCTGCACTAGAGGGCACTAGATCGACCTGTTGGACCCCTGCACTAGAGGGAACTAGTGAGTGATATCTGACTTGTTATGGGGTGACGTGTGTCCTTGGATGTTCTTGTGGTAGACCTCCTTCCACTTCCACTTTCTTGCATCACAAATGAAAGTACATCTAGTTCAATTCTTTATTTATTTGTTATTTATCTGCTCTCATAGCTGTTTGACAATCTGTATTGACGTTGATGCGATCACTCTTAGAGTGAAGTATATTATGTGTACACACTCTCTCTCTCTCTCTCTGTCTTTCTCTCTCTGTACAGAACACAACAGAGCAGAACAGAAAGAGTTTCACTGACAGTGAGTCATTCCTGAGGCGAAGCAGCATTAGTCTGTGGGTCTGAAGGAAGGGGAGTTTAGTTTACTCCAGTCATCTTAGTTCACTCTGTGGCTGTGTCACAAATGGCACCCTATTCCCTAAATAGTGCACTACTTTGACCGGAGACCTATGGACCCTGGTCAAAACTAGTGCACTAAATAGGGAATAGTGTGCCATTTTGGAACAATTTCAGTGACAGGGCCAGCTAGCAGAGAACAGGACACAGACCACTTATAACCCACTATTTTTCTGTGTGTGTCTAAAGTCTTCAGTAGCTTTTCTTTCTCTCCCTTCTCCTTCCACGTTGTCCCTCTCCTCAACGCTACAGGAGTTGAACTAAGCCCATCTTTTCCTTCCACGTTGTCCCTCTCCTCAACGCTACAGGAGTTGAACTAAGCCCATCTTCTCCTTCCATGTTGTCCCTCTCTTCAACACTACAGGAGTTGAACTAAGCCCATCTTTTCCTTCCACGTTGTCCCTCTCCTCAACGCTACAGGAGTTGATCTAAGCCCATCTTCTCCTTCCACGTTGTCCCTCTCTTCAACATTACAGGAGTTGAACTAAGCCCATCTTCTCCTTCCACGTTGTCCCTCTCTTCAACATTACAGGAGTTGAACTAAGCCCATCTTCTCCTTCCACGTTGTCCCTCTCTTCAACACTACAGGAGTTGAACTAAGCCCATCTTCTCCTTCCACGTTGTCCCTCTCTTCAACATTACAGGAGTTGAACTAAGCCCATCTTCTCCTTCCACGTTGTCCCTCTCTTCAACACTACAGGAGTTGAACTAAGCCCATCTTCTCCTTCCACGTTGTCCCTCTCTTCAACATTACAGGAGTTATCTAAGCCATCTTCTCCTTCCACGTTGTCCCTCTCTTCAACGCTACAGGAGTTGATCTAAGCCCATCTTCTCCTTCCACGTTGTCCCTCTCTTCAACATACAGGAGTTGATCTAACCCATCTTCTCCTTCCACGTTGTCCCTCTCTTCAACATTACAGGAGTTAGAACTAAGGCCCATTATTCTCACCTCTATCCTCCTTCTGAATAAACTATTTAATTAGTGTAACTGCAATCAAATGTTGTGGAGTGACTGACCTGAGGGGAGGGGGAAAAGGAGGAAACAGGGGCGGGGATCTCTCGCTCGTCTCGCTCTCTCTCTCTCTCTCGCTCTTGCTCTCATCTTCTCTCTCCTCTCTCTCTCAATTCAATTCAATTCAAATTCAATTCAATTTAAGGGCTTGTATTGGCATGGGAAATTGTTGTTAACAGTGCCAAAGCAAGTGAAGGAGTAGTAGAGGAGAGAGGCGAGCGGCGCGAGCGCGAGAGCTCTAGAGAGCTCGATAGAGCGAGAGTCGAGAGGAGCATATAACTCTCTATCTCTCTATCTCAATCTATCCTCTACTCTCGCTCATAGCTCTATCATTATCTCTCTCCTCTCTCTCTCTCTCTTCTTCTTTCTCTCTGTCTCCTCAGTAGTATAGCTCTATCACCATCTGCACAAATATTTTTCAGTTAACTAGGAATGAGCTGTGTGTGTGTGTGTGTGTTTGTGTTTGTGTTTGTGTGTGTGTGATGTTGTGTGTGTGTGTGTGTGTGTGTGTGTGTGAATGATTGATTGAGTGAGTGAGTGAGTGTGAATAGTTCACATTGTGTATATGAATAGATCACTACAATGTTTTCTGAAATTGCCCTCTATTACCATCACAGGGAGTTTTTATTATTCTGGGATGGCAGTATTGACATCATCAGACTATTTCCAGACACAACCTAGATATTTATAGTTGTCCATGATCCACGGTTTCTCACATTGGAAAGTACAACATGAAAGGGTGTGTTCCAGGACTGAACAGCAGGGTATAATACTATCGCTCTACTGCTGAACAGCAATAGAATCGAGTGATATAAATGTTTAACAGTTTAAAATGGGCTGGACTAGTGTCTCATAAATATCCTACTGCCTGTCTGCCTGCCTATCTGCCAGTCTAACGGCCTCCCTCTCTTCCCTCTCCTTCACTTTCATTTTCCAGTGGAAATAATCAGCTGTGCCAATAACTCGCTCCCTCCCTCCTTCCCTCCCCTGTTTTTAGCCCCTCCCTCCCTCCTTCCCTCCCCTGTTTTAGCCCCTCCCTCCCTCCCTCCCTCCTTCCCTCCCTCTCTACGTTTCAAGTCCTTCACCACATCATATCACAAAGAGATGCCAAGTCAGTCACTGCCTCTATCCTTCCCTTCCATATGAATGTTATCTGTTTGCCTGTCGACACGGCTATCGACGCGGCTGTGACCATGTGAGCCTTTTTCCTCCTAGGCGGATAACTGAATATCAAATCCGTTAAATGATGGTGGTGCGGATAGATCGGGCCGAGGATATCATTAACGCAAAACAGTTAATGGATGTCTTAGATACTTAGATGTTGATTAAGATGCCTTGGGAGATTGGACGCCCCTCACTCATCTAGTCCTCATTCCTCCATCTCTCCCTCTTTTTCCTCCGTCACGTCGTAGATCCCTCATCGCCCCTCCGCAGTGTTAGATATCAGAGAAGCTGATAGTCAGAGAAGCTGATAGTCAGAGAAGCTGATAGTCAGAGAAGCTGATAGTCAGAGAAGCTGATAGTCAGAGAAGCTGATAGTCAGAGAAGCTGAAGCTGATAGTCAGAGAAGCTGATAGTCAGAGAAGCTGATAGTCAGAGAAGCTGATAGTCAGAGAAGCTGAAGCTGATAGTCAGAGAAGCTGATAGTCAGAGAAGCTGATAGTCAGAGAAGCTGATAGTCAGAGAAGCTGAAGCTGATAGTCAGAGAAGCTGATAGTCAGAGAAGCTGAAGCTGATAGTCAGAGAAGCTGATAGTCAGAGAAGCTGATAGTCAGAGAAGCTGATAGTCAGAGAAGCTGAAGCTGATAGTCAGAGAAGCTGATAGTCAGAGAAGCTGATAGTCAGAGAAGCTGATAGTCAGAGAAACTGATAGTCAGAGAAGCTTATAGTCAGAGAAGCTGATAGTCAGAGAAGCTGATAGTCAGAGAAGCTGATAGTCAGAGAAGCTGATAGTCACAGTGGGTTTGACAGTGGGTTTTGGGGCTATGAGCAGAAATCAATCCAAATGGCACCCTATTCCCTATATAATATATAGGGAATAGGGTGCCATTTGGGATACAGCAGTTAGTGTCTTTGATAAGATTAAAACCTCCCTGGTTTAATTAACTTCACTATTAAAGTGGGGAGAACGGGGGTACTACTGCTGTGTACTCATCATCATCATCACACACACACACACACACACACACACACACACACAGACGTCATCTCATCATCTCCTGGTGATATCGGCCAAAGGCTTTTGGATACATCACCACATTACTCATCACCATAGTTGTCAAAGTTTCTGTGATGCAGCGGTAGGAGGTGGAGGAGGGTTAATGGATGAAGTGGGGGAGGGAGGGAACGCGTGTGTTTAGGCCTATGTGTTCATGTGCGTCAGTTGCGTATGTGCGTGCAAGTGTACTTGCTTCCTTGTGTCTGTGCGCGTGTGTGCGTCTGCGTTCGCCTGTGCTCTTGTGTGTGTCTGAAAGCAGGAGGGACTGAACGCTGTAAAAAGCCCAGATGCTGTTTCCTGTCCCTGGTGATGGCTGTGTACTGGTTAGACCATTAATGATCCATCTTGGGAACGCTGGGCTCTACATAATTTATCAACTATACCATTTATCATCCGCAAAATTAACTTGTTGGTTGGGGTAGAAGGGAAGCAGAGGACGCATTCGTTTTATTTTTTTTATATATATATTTTTTTTGGAATGCTTTGTCATTCCCCTGTGATTTATTTCTCTGTCAGATTCCTGGAACGAATTTAATGCCTAAGCTCTTGCTGTTTTAGACAATGTGTAAAAAAAATACAGTCCCCCTTGTTGCGTATCCCAAGTCTTATTTGTGATGGTATACTGTAGCTTAGGCTACATCTAAATAACATGCACCAATGGCTAAATTCAATATAGTCCTTTTTTCATTGATCGTGTCTAAAACAATCCGTATCTTATATGGAAGAGATTTGATGTACAGTTTCATGTTGAATTCGTGCACTCTGTCTCACCTTTAAAAGTGTCAAGAAACCTAGTTTTGCACTAATCTGAAAGTATAAGTTGTGTGAAGTAAAACACCAGTAACAGCGGTGTACAACATTTATAATGATTGCATCAACATTTATAGATTTGTTTTTGCGCAATAGCTGTTTTAAAAACATCCAATTTTTACCCAAATTGTATTTATGAACCACACAGATCAAAACAAGCCAAGACTTGATCTCCTTCTTGATTCTTTCTTCTTCTGTATCATAATGAATTGTAAACAAGCTGTATCATCAAAGAAACAGTAATGCTGTGAGTAGAACAGAAATGGTAAATGTAGTGGCCGTAAAAATTATTATTTTGCATGTTGTTGTTGTTGTTTTCTTGTATTATATCTTAAATTATTCATCAAAACAAGAGAGACTTTATCAAATATGTTTATCTTTGTTTTCTTCCAGATAACTGAGTCAGGCAAGGAGACGCTACCAACATGGCTTCACTGGGACTGGAAGAGCAACGTCCTACAGGGTCTACCGCTGGAGGAGGACAAGGGTGTCCACTACATCACCGTCTCCACATCCAACGGCAGCCAGGACATCTTCTCCATCGAGGTGCACCCAGAGGAACACGCCGACACCGACCCCATCCAGCTTGCCATCCAGTCGGCGTCCAACAATGAGGTCCAGCCGTTCGTCTGCGGCACAGAGGAACCGGTGACGGTGCTCACTGTGATTCTGGACGCCGACCTCACCAAGATGAGCTCCAGGCAGAGGGTGGAGCTGCTGGGCAAGATGAAGAAGTTCTCTGGCGTGGCGCTCCAGCACATGAAGATACTTCCCGTGGTCAACAACAGATTGTTCGACATGTCCGCCTTCATGGCCGGACCAGGAAATGCCAAAAAGGTGGTGGAGAACGGAGCCCTGTTATCCTGGAAGCTAGGATGTTCCCTAGACCAGAGTAATGTCCCCAACATCAGCAGCGTCCAGGCGCCGGCGAAAGAAGGCACTATGTCTGCTCAGCTGGGATACCCTGTGGTCGGTTGGCACATCGCCAACAAGAAGCCTCATATCCCCAAACGGGTGAGGCGCCAGCTCAACAATACCCCTACCCCTGTTCTAGCTGTGCTTCCCCCAACGTCTGTTGTCGAGCCCCCTGTTCGCATTGTACCCACCCTGTCGTCACCTGCCATTGCTGCCCCCACAGACAGCTCTTCCCCACCCATTAGAGGGCCTGTGCCCTTGCCCATGAAGCCCACGATCCGTGTCAGAGACTCCTATGCCCACACTCCCACTCAGGGTGCACCCCTGCCAACCAGAGTGATGGAGTCCACTAGTACCATCTCCATTCAACCCACCATGACCAGGCATACCGTTGTGGAAGCCACTCCGACACTCCCTCCACCCACCACAGTCGCCACCAGAAAGCCAACCAAGAAACCAAAGAGACCGAAGACCACTCCGATGCCAAGGGAACCCAAGACCACCACTGCCAAACCAGCCAGACGCACCACCCCTTCGTCCATCGTGCCTGACCCAAGAAACGAGAAACCAGATCTCCGCAACCCCATCGATCAGGTCAATGCCTTCGTGGGCACATACTTTGAGGTGAAGATCCCATCCGATACATTCTTTGACAAGGAGGACGGTACGACAGACAAACTGAGGTTGACCCTGAGGATGAACCACAACGAAGTTGTTGCGGACGACTCCTGGATACAGTTTAATAGCACAAGCCAGCTGCTGTACGGTCTTCCAGACTCAAATCACATTGGGAAGCACGAGTACTTCATGCAGGCCACCGATAAGGGCGGTCTGAATGCGATCGATGCCTTCGAGGTCCGCGTGAACCGCTGGGCATCCAACGATAAGTCCCCGGTCCTGTTCCAGGCCCGCTTACATGGCGAACCTCGCCTGGTGACCAACAACATCCACAAGAAGATCCTGCTCATCAAGAAGCTGGCGTACTCGTTCGGTGACCGCAACAGCAGTACGGTCACCCTGAGGAACATCACCAAGGGATCCATTGTGGTGGAGTGGACGAACAACAGCCTCCAGCAGAACCCCTGTCCCAAGGAGCAGATCCAGACCATGTCCAGGAGGATCTCCGATGCCCAGGGAAGGCCCTCCCAGACCTTCATCTCCGCCATGGAACCTGACTTCATACCCATCAGCATCAAGGTCAACGGAATGGGTGCCTGCCGGAACTACATGTTTGTCCCGCCGGGTGAAATCACTATCCCTATCCCACCGGCCGTCACGCCGGCGCTGGGCACCGGACGCCAGAGCACGGACGACGTCTACCTCCACACGGTGATCCCGGCCGTGGTGGTGGCGGCCATCTTGCTGATCGCCGGCATCATCGCCATGATCTGCTACCGCAAGAAGCGCAAGGGCAAGCTGACCATTGAGGATCAGGCTACCTTCATCAAGAAGGGGGTGCCCATAATCTTCGCAGACGAGCTAGACGACTCCAAGCCCCCTCCGTCGTCCTCCATGCCCCTCATCCTGCAGGAGGAGAAACCCCCTCTGCCCCCGCCGGAGTACCCCAACATGGCCAGTCCAGAGACCACCCCCCTGAACCAGGACCTTCTGGGTGAGTACACGGCTCTGAGGGACGAGGACCCCAACGCGCCCCCCTACCAGCCCCGCCCCCCTTCACCGCCCCCATGGAAGGTAAAGGATCTCGTCCAAAGAACATGACCCCCTACAGATCCCCGCCACCCTACGTGCCACCCTAAGGTTAGCTGGCTCCTCCAGAGAAGGAGGAGGGAAGCAGGGGGACTTGTAACGGTCTCAATCCAGTGTTGTCTGTTTGGAAATAAGGGGTGGGAGGAGGAGGACAAAGTGGGAACAAACTTTGGATTTTGGGTTGGGAGGGTTTTGGGGTGATCTGATTGAGTCTGAGTTGAAGTTGTTGGAAAGATGGGAGGGAGGGAGAACTAGGTGGTAACTGCGGCAACAGTATCCACAACAAGGACACTATTCAGTCTCTCATCGTCTCATTGGCTACAGCTGTACAGCTAGTTTGGGAAGACATGCCCCTCTTGTCCCAGTGCTTTTTTTTTTTTTTCTCAGTTTGAAACTAAATGGGCTTTGTTTTATTTTATGTATTTGATTCTTTTTTTGGGGGGGGGGGGGGGCTGACTTCAACCGAAATCAAGCTACTTGCTTAACAGCACTCTTTTTATGTTATTTTATCTTGAATAATACAAGAACGTAATAAACAAACACACTGCAGGCAAAAAGGTTTTGAATAGAGAGAGAGTTCTATGAATGAAAACAAAAACAACATAATCATGTGGATCTGCGCCAGCCCTGCATCCAGCCCTGAGGCCAGACAGACAGACAACACAGTGGTGGGTCAGTGTTTGGAGTCAATAAGGTTTGTCTTTTAACACTAATTGTATATTTGTATCCTTATTCACACAAGATGAGCATAACAAAGTTAGCCAAAAAAATTATTAGAAATTAGTTTTAAAAATGTTTTGTTTCTTTTATTATTTTTGTTTTTAATAGTTTTAGATAGATATATAGATAGATAGATAGATAGATAGATAGATAGATAGATAGATGATAGCTAGATCGCTCGATACGATTGATCGATAGATTAGATAGATGCTAGATAGATTCGCTAGATAGATGATCCTACGATAGATACATAGATACGATTAGATAGATAGCTAGATCGATGATAGATAATATAGATAGATAGATAGATAGATAGATAGATAGATAGATAGATAGATAGATAGAAATACAGGATCTATTTTTCCCTCGATCAGAAAGGAACAGTAAACCAAGTAGGTAGACCCAGCCCAGTCAGGGCTAAACAAGCTGACATTATCGGTAGCTAATATTAGCACGTAGGGCAACCATGACAACTGTGATTCTACAACAGCCTGGCCCAGCTATTATCAGATGTATAGTTTTGACTTGAAGCTCAAGGATTTTTACCTTGCCTGGGATTCCCAATGCCACCCAAAATCATTCAAGAGGGAAATACAATGTCCCCTTTTATTATTATTATGATTTAAAATGTCTCCCTTATCCGAATATGATCATAACTTTGACAATTTGAATGCCATGTTGCCTTTATGGTGATGCGATGTGTCTTCTGTATATAGCTATTGATCGGCCTGTTGAAATAATATTAAGTGTATTTATACTTCAAAATTGTTTGTGTAAATCTGATATGGAAAAAGCCTCCTGCGGTTTATTTTAGACGAGGGGTAATTATTTTTTTATGTAGTGATGATGATGCTCTTGTTCTCACAGTTTATGCGGGAAACAGTTTGTTGCTGTTGAGCGTGATTGAGAACGTCCTGAAAGGGATACAATCTTTATTCACAATCAAAGGTCATTGTAAGACGAGGAGAGGAGAAGGAAGTTGAGGAAAGGCAAATAAAGAAATGAAGACAAGAAAGAAAGAAAAGAAGAAAGAAAGAAAGAAAGAAAGAATAAAAAAGAAAAAAGAAGAAAGAAAGAAAGAACGAAATAAAGCAAGAAATAAAGAAAGAAGAAATAAAGTAAAGCAAAAATAAAAGAAAGAAAGAAAGAAAGAAAGAAAGAAAGAAAGAAAGAAAAAGAAATCCCGAGAACAAGATCACCAGAAAACACTGAAAAAATGGTGGATAAAATCTCTATCTAATTTTTTTACAAAGTTTTTGATACAGCCTCAAATTGTTTAAAAAAAATTGATAAATAGATGAATAGTGTACTGCAATTTGTTCAATCTTAGCGTAGAGAATTGATTCCTCATTATGTACCTTTTCTCATGGGGGTCAACTATTTCAAGTGATTTTTTTGTTGTTGTTGGCATATTATCAAATGTATTATCATGTTTTTCCCCGATGAGTTTTGACTTTGAAAGTGACCCTTTGCAATAATGTAAGGTGCTGTCCGGTGGTGAGTGGTCATTGCAGGTTAGATGAGTGATGATGTACTACCAAGTGGTGATGAGAAAACCCACATAATGATGATGATGTACCCACATAATGATGATGATGTACCCACATAATGATGATGATGTACCCACATAATGATGATGATGTACATGCATAATGATGATGATGTATTCACATAATGATGATGATGTACACGCATAATGATAATGATTTACATTTATAATGATGATGATGTACCCCCATAAAGATGATGATGTACCCACATAATGATGATGATGTACCCCCATAAAGATGATGATGTACCCACATAATGATGATGATGTACACGCATAATGATAATGATGTACCCACATGTAGTTTGTTTTTCCCAGATACCAAGTGTTGCTTTTTTAGTGTGCATTTATCATGAAAGCCAGCCTCCGTCTATCTACAGTATGTCCAGATAATTATTCATTCTTCACACGTTTGAAATTCTAATCCAACAAGTTCCAATAGTATTGGAATTAATGAGTCATCTACACAATGAACGGAGGGGATCATGATGTGTTACATTGGCACACTGCTGCTGCCATACATTTATAATATATAGCTTTATTTTTTATTGATGAGCTTCGGTTATAATCGGTTTTCTAATGCTTTCACTTACCCCTTGATGAGTCTACATGGCAATGTCAACAGAGGTTTCAGTACAATGTGTATCCATCATAGAGTTAGCTAGACGACTCATCTTTGTATCTGTCCAATTATGGCGTCTACGACAGCACAGTGTTCATGCAAAATGGGGTTTATATCCATGATGAGTTCTCTAACCATCTCTATGGGGTCCATCTATGGGGTCTGTCTGTCAGCCCTTTGAGGCCCTAACTCCTGTCACTCTAGCTGGATAATAATCTCCTAAACTGGTATTATTAATCTGACTAGATAAACATTCGATCTGGAACCATGTTGTAAGTCTCCTTTCCATTACACTCGGCACCATGAAATACAGATGTATCTTATTGATTATATGTAAATAGCTTGCTGTGGCGTAATCCATCGGCATTAAGGTCACTTCACTAGACTAGCAAAGAATCAGGTTTAGTGACACTGAGTCAAATCTTAAATTACATATCCGTAACACAGTTAAATCTCCATTTGATTCCACAATTAAGAGGAGATGATGGTCTGAAGCTTAACAGAGAAAAAATACCAAAGATGCAAAAAAAAAAATGAAATAGCAGTCATTCACTACATCTAGTTCAAATGCCTTGTTGACAGAATATCTTTAAACTGTCGGTTACATTTCAGTATTTCAGTTACATTTCATAATTACATTTCAGATGTTAGCAACAGCATTGCAAAGGATATGGATTCAACAAAAAACACATAGTTATTTTCATTTAGAACCCGATAGCTGTCCTGAGGGATATGTTTTGTTTAAGCCGAGTGAGGAGTACACTCCATCCCATTAGGTTCTATACAATTACAGATAGCTGCCTTTCAGTTTAGGTACGGCATCTTGGACCATAGAAGGGAATGATCATATCAAAATGTCGTCTGTATTGTACCATTGTGTTGTTCTTCTTTCATCAGCTTCCATTTTGACTGTTCTTTCATCAGCTTCCATTTTGACTCTTCTTTCATCAGCTTCCATTTTGACTGTTCTTTCATCAGCTTCCATTTTGACTCTTCTTTCATCAGCTTCCATTTTGACTCTTCTTTCATCAGCTTCCATTTTTACTCTTCTTTCATCAGCTTCCATTTTTACTCTTCTTTCATCAGCTTCCATTTTTACTCTTCTTTCATCAGCTTCCATTTTTACTCTTCTTTCATCAGCTTCCATTTTTACTCTTCTTTCATCAGCTTCCATTTTGACTCTTCTTTCATCAGCTTCCATTTTTACTCTTCTTTCATCAGCTTCCATTTTGACACTTCTTTCATCAGCTTCCATTTTTACTCTTCTTTCATCAGCTTCCATTTTTACTCTTCTTTCATCAGCTTCCATTTTGACTCTTCTTTCATCAGCTTCCATTTTGACTCTTCTTTCATCAGCTTCCATTTTGACCCTTCTTTCATCAGCTTCCATTTTGACACTTCTTTCATCAGCTTCCATTTTTACTCTTCTTTCATCAGCTTCCATTTTTACTCTTCTTTCATCAGCTTCCATTTTTACTCTTCTTTCATCAGCTTCCATTTTGACTCTTCTTTCATCAGCTTCCATTTTTACTCTTCTTTCATCAGCTTCCATTTTTACTCTTCTTTCATCAGCTTCCATTTTGACTCTTCTTTCATCAGCTTCCATTTTTACTCTTCTTTCATCAGCTTCCATTCCTGCCAATTCGAAATGTAGGGATTGGTGTGTCAAATCAAATCAGCCTTAAATGCATTTCTTATTCATACACAGCAAGCAGCACTGACTGAAAGGTTCCTATGCTCTGAGTGGCATAATGTACTATATTTTGTTGTTCGCTAAAGAGAATATGTAGTCTTTATTTTGTTTTACATTCATGAGTAAATGAGTCCTTACAACTGGAATGATAATGGTAATAATAATAGTAATAGTATTGATGATGATTATAAAAGTGACAAAATAATATGTTTACCATAATGGTTTCAGGGGGACATTCTGTACTGTGTTTGTCCTTCATGCTTATGTCACTTCCTAATACCAATGGGATGCCTCCGGTTCGCAAACAAAATGGTTGCCAAACTACAGCGCATTGAAAAGTTATGGTCTTTGCTTAACATGACATATATCAGACACACTTTCAATTAACATGCTAAAACAAGAAGGAAGGAGAGAAAATTGAGTGATAA